CCATACTCTACTCTTCTTAGACAATTGCAGGTATCTGGTAAGAAAATGCCACAATTGACCTCACCCCCTCATCTCATTCCTCCTGCTAGTCCTAGACTCCCCCTTCTTTCTTCAGCCGGTTCTTCCTCTTAGCTATGTGACTTCATTTCTTGTATCCTCAGTCTTATGCCCCATACTTCATCCTACAAAATGTATCAGACAACAGATATTGACAAGACATCTCCTACTAGCTCCATTCTCTTTTCTTATCGCAAATTTTTTCCAAATAGTGCCCATCCTTATCACCATCATCGTGTTCTATCCATTTTTTCCCACATTTTGCATAGCCTAAATGCCTCTGAGCAACTATTACAGATTAGGGGAAATGTCTGGATGCTGAGTGCCACATGGCTCAGACCTTCAGCTCTGAGTAATAAGAAAAGTCTGAACAACTCTGCATTAGATGTGTTTTACCAGGTACGTCCCTGATGGCCTCCTTCCTATGACCAGAGACCAAGCAACAAACCCACTGGGTTCTACTGGATTCAGCACAAGCTATGTCTGCTCATACTGGGCCCTGACCGCATTCCTAGCTGGCTTTCCTCCTCCTTGTGCCCATCTTGGTGGGTTTTCCACCATGCTCCTTTCTGAGTCTGAAGGTTTCGCTGACAAGCTCCCCTATGTAACCCTTTCCCTACTGCCCAGCTCAGATATCATCACCCAGGTCTGTAGATAGCACCCAGCATGGCACAGTGTTTTGTTAGAAAGGAGAGGAGGGCCGCAGGTTCCACAGCCAGAACTCAGGGCACATGGTGTGCCAGGTGCCAGTGCCTGTAGGTCAACAAACAGAATATTGTCAATCGCCTATCATGGGAAATTCTGAACTTGTGATCTACAGATACAATGGAAAGGTTACACATTTGGATCTATTAATAGGACAGACAGAAATAAAAACTTATGACACATGCTTTATAAAAATGACCAGAAGGCTAGGCATGGTATGGCATACCTGTAATTCCTCCGCTCTGAGAGCCTGAGGCAAGAGGATCACAAGTTAGAGCCCAGCCTTGGCAATTTGGTGACTTAATGGGACTCTGTCTAAAAATAAAAAACAGCCAGAGATGTAGTTCAATGCAAAGGCCCTGGGTTCAAGCTCAGCACAACAACAAAAGACCAAAAGACTGAAAATCAGAAGGATCACAGATCAAATACTTACATTATCAGACAAGGCCTGCAAAACAGCAAAGACTATGATTCCAAGTTTTTCAGCCTTAAGCACTCATGCTTTCCTCACAGCCTCGGGTTCCTTACTTGTAAAATGAACTTAAAGAGATCACTTTATGGTCAGTAGGAATGTTGATATGGAGATGAACTCTTTTAACTTGGTCCCTAACCCAATGAGTGCCCCGGGCTGGCCACCTCTCCTTTGGCTGTTCAAAGAGGTCAAGTTGAGGGGCCCAGACAGTGAACCCCCCCGCCTCACTCAGCTTCTCGCCCCACTCTTGTCCTTGCCCTGGGCTCTCTCCTTGCCCTACCTCCTGCCATTTCCATTTTTTCTCTCTCTCACACTATTTGTCTTTTTCCTTTCTCCCCTTTGGAGTCTCATTTTCCACCTCAAGGAAGGGCTCGGGCGCCTTCTTGCCATCTGAAGGCTGTCAGAGAAATGGGTGGTTGTCCGAGGTACATCTGGCTCCTGTAGAGTGCGCTGAGAACTCCACCTGCAAAGAGCTCCACCTGGCCCCAAGATAGAAGCATTTGCCACACCTGCCCACTAATGGAAAGACCGGATGGCCTCAGGAGAGCCCGAGATGTCTCAAAGGCCTGAGCGGCTCTCTACCCCTGAGCGGCGTTCCCAGCCTGGGCCATGGAGCCTTGAAATGGCTCAGGCATTAGTAATCTCAGAAATGTCAGAGCCTGCACTGAGGCACAGGACCAGATCTAGGGGTGCTGCTGGGAGAGTTGTCTGAGGAACAATTAGATCACCCCAGGCCCTGCCTTCACCTCCTCCACCCGAGACACAAGCTAGCCCCCTTCTCCATCCTGGCAGAAACCTGGAGCTTTGCTCTTAGTATGAATCAGGTCAGAGATCTCAGTACACTCCAGCATACCAGCCCAGTGAGGGTGGGAAGGAAGGGCCAAACCCGGACACAGTTAAAGTTGACATGTTGAGTCTGAGACTCTCCGGCTCCCTTCTCGCGCTAGGTTCAGCAGTGCCGGCTCCTGAGCTGGTGTCTCCTATGGTAGACAGAATGATGGCCTCCAACGATGCCCACGTTCTAATCCCTGGAACCTGTAGCAAAGGACTTTGCAGATTGCTTGGGCTGGATGGGAAGATTATCCTGGATTACCTGTGTGAATGCAGTGTGTCACAGAGTCTTTCTAAGAACCTTACACAAGTCCTGTACTCCAGTTAGTAGCTGTATTTTTCACAAGGTTATAGATGAGCAGTTCTGAAGCGATTCCATTGCTACGCAAAAACTGAACAAGCAAGTAAGTACATTGTGGATGAGGAGGCTTCTTTGTCAGTGTTTGAGAAAGAAGCGGCAAATAAGGAAAAGGAGCAAAACTAAATGTACTGTAATTTGTTGGATTTTAATCAGAGAAATGTATACAGGGGCCCCTCTGTATCCACTGATTCTGAACCCATAGATTCAACCAACTGTGAATCAAAAATAGTTAAAAATATTTCTCTATACTGAACATGCAGACAGTTTTTGTGTATAGGTGCGTGCCCGGGGTTGAACCCAGAGCCTTTGCACTGAGCTGTATCCCCAGCGTTTTTTATTTTTCATTTTGAGACAGGGTCTCACTAAGTTGCTCAGGCTTGGCTCCAGCTTTCAGTCCTCCTCCCTCAATTTCCCCGAGTTCTGGAATTATAGGCGTGCAATCCCGTGCCTGGGTAGTATTTCTTAATGCAGTATGATGACTATTTACGTAGTATTTCTATTGTGTAGATACTATGAGTAACCTAGAGATGATTTAAAATATACAGAAGGATTTGTGTATATGCAAGGGGGGGGTACTGGGAATCGAACTCAAGACCTCGTGTTTGCCAGGGAGGTGCTGTGCCACTGAGCTACATCCCTGGGCCACTATACTGTTTTATTACAAGGGATTTGAGCATCCATGGATTTGGGAATCCATAGGGACTCCTGGAACCACCCTCTATGGATGCCCAGGGACAAAGGGAGAAATAGGAGAAACAGTTAATTCCAGGGAGGAGGCAGGGAAAACTCAAGAGGAGCCTAGGATATGTTGTAGTGCCAAGGAAGGAAGTGCTCACAAAATGACAGAGCTATGTTGTAAGGACACCAGTTTGAAGAAGCTCCAGATGGCAAAATCTAAGGCTATTTAAGCCCCCCCCCCAAAAAAAAAGAAAAAAGAAAAAGAGTTATAACCTATAGAATAAAAGAAACATACAGGAATCATATGCAATTCAATGAATGGATAGGAGAGAGGGGATTCCTTACAATAGAATTCACATTAGCAAATATATGAGAAATGATGGGGAAAAAAAACACACTTTCATTTTATACCATACCATAGTAGTAATTATTACAGGCAAGAAAGGTCAGTGGATACTACAACTGGATGAAAGTATGAGGAAAAAGCTAGTTGTGTGGTCTGAATGTGTCTCCTTGAAAGATTTATATTAATTACAGAAAGAGTAACTTTGTAGTGGCGAGCCCGGCAGATGTGCTCCGTGTTAACATCACCAGGAGGGAAACGGGGAGCTCCTGACGGCACTAAGAGCACAGTTGGTGCTGTCCCTAGCAAAAATGTGGACAACAACCTAAGGGAAACCAGACAGATCAAAGCGGAGCGGCACTCTGCATACTAACCCTCCACTACATTTCCGGAGTGCCGAGGTCGTGAGCGACAAAAAATGAATCCTAGGAATTAATCCACAATAGACTAAGAAGACCTGGCAATTGAATGTAATGGAGGATCCTGGAGCGGAACAGGAACGTTTGGGGGCAGTAGGCAAAATACTCTAAAGGTCTGCAGACTGCTTAATAGTATTGCACCATGTTTATTTCCTGGTTTTGATGATTATTCTGTGGATATGTAAAATGATAACAATAGAGGAAACTGAATTCAGTATATGTCTTTAAAAATTTTTAAACACCTTCTTTTAAAATTTAAGTAGTAATTATTGTACTCTTGTTATTTTTTTCTTTTTTTTTCTTTTTGAGACAGAGTCTTGCAATGCAGTTCAGGCTCGCCTTGAGCTCACTTTATAGCTCAGGCTGCCCCCGAACTCACAACAATCCTCCTGCCTTATCCTCCCAAGTGCTGGAATTACAGGTGTGCGCCACCACCCCCGGCTGTACTCTTGTTTTTATTATTCAAAAGCATATATAACTACTGGAGCTTTACTAGTCACAGTGTTACTATGTTGTATTACCACACTGAGTTGACCTTAATTCAGCCTAAAGTAACAGAATTTCTTTGCTTGCTTTTTTTGTTTGTTTGGTTTTGGTTTTTTCCGGTACGGGGGATCGAACTCACAACCTTGTGCTTGCCAGGCAGGTGCTGTGCCACTGAGATAAATCCCCAGCCAGCCCCTTTGCTTGCTTTAAAATTTTATTTATTTATTTATTTATTTATTTATTTATTTATTTATTTATTTAGAATCAGGGTCTCACTATGTAGCCCAGGCTGGCCTTGAATTTGTGGCAATCCTCTTACTTCAGGCTCCCAAGTGCTGGGATTACAGGCCTGAATCACCCCAGCTCTGTTTGACTGTTTTTTGAGACAGTGTCACTCTGTAGTCCAGGCTGGCCTCAAACAATCGGTGGATCCACCTGCCTCAACATCCTGAGTGCTGGGATGACTATATTCAGTTCTATGTACTCTTTTTAAAGATAGCTGTTTTCCTTTGAAATACCAAAGGTAGCTCACAGATCTTTTTATCATCTTTGACAATTTTTAGGAGCATGAGGTTCCCAGATTTATAAATCACATAAATAGTGTCTAACATAACTTTGATAATCTGTTTCTGTTTTTCTCTTTTTAAGGTTAAATCACAGCTTGAAGAAAAAACAAATGAGAGTTACCAAGAATTCGTAGCCGTAGAGTATAAAAGTCAAGTGGTTGCTGGAGTAAATTACTTTATTAAGGTTAGACTTCAACATCTACGTTAGAGCTCACAGATATATTTATTTGATGTTATGTTTTGTGTACCTTACTGATCATCCTCAATTAAGATACCAGCATGAAACCTTGGTAGTGACAGGTCCTCAAATTTGACAGAGGACCTTATGCCATTCTTGTGAATTTAGAAAGCTTTCTTTTTCTTTTTTGATACCGGAAATTGAACTCAGGACCTTGCACTTGCCAAGCAAGACGCTGTGCTGCTGAGTTATATCCTCCACCCGAGAAAGCTTTCTTATATTGATTCTTAACTTCTCATTTCTACAAATTATACAGAAAAGGACTTCATAACAGTTGCTTGGTTTGTGGCCAAGGCTATTTCGAGTGTTGGGTGGGAGAGTAATATGTCAGCTTCCAGGGATTGGGGCTGAACCAGGTGCCATCTGCCCAAAGCTTTATGATCCTGTGTATCTGAATTAAATTGATTTGAGGAATGACTTGAATATTGTGCTGTGAAAAGAATTTTAACCATTTTTGCCTGTTAAGTATTTTGATTAATATAATTTAAATATACTGCAAATGTGTACAACTAAAAATAAATTAAAATTATATATCATTTAAATAACTTTTTGCAACTCAAGTAGATTCAGCTTGTGGCACTGTAATATAGTTTGAAGCTGTGGAATATTTAAATATTGTAAAAGTTAGAGGGGTGGTGCCACACACCTGTAATCCCAGCATTCTGGGAGGCTGAGGCAGGAGGATCAAAAATTTGAGTCCAGTCTGGGCCATGTAATGAGACTGCCTCAAAATAAAAGATAAAAACAAAGCGTTGTAAATATAGCACAGTGCAAAGGCCATTCATTGAATCTTGAATACCAAAATAAATAAATAGATAAAAATAAAATATTTTAAAAATCAATTGTATAGCTATATCAAAAAAATTAAGTGATATACTGACTCAGTCCCAAAGGAAGAAAATACTTTTCATGTTTTCAAAAGGGGAGCCAAATCAGCCAATCCACAGGGGCATGTGTGGGAGCCATTTTCACCCATATGTGTTAAAGAGATGACAATTCTGACTTAAAAAAAATAATAATAACAAGGGTAGGGTGTAGCTCAGTAGCAAAGTGCCTGCCTGGCAAGCACAAGGTCATGAGTTCGATTCCCTGTACTACTACTACTAATAATAATAATAATAACAGCTATTCAAGCATGTTTGCCTACTATTTACAGTTAAATTTCACCAAGGCACTGCATGGTTTATTTCTCTTTCATAATTAGCTATTGAAGGTACAAAAAAAATTTAAATGTTTTCAGGAATGATAACAACAATAATAATAATAACAGTAATAACTGGAACTAGCCAGCCCAAAATGAGAAAGTTACAAAACTGGGTCATGTGTATGGGTCAGCCCAGTCCTGCTTAATTTGGGTTACTGGTTTACACCAGACCCAGGGACTCCCGAATGGAACCCTGCAGCCCACAGACGCAGTGACGCTGTGGTCTCCTGTCCCAGTCCTCCCTCACAGATAGAAAAAGAATGTTTTCCACTGAAAAATTATTTTGCTCAAAATCAGGAAATGTTCTGTGAAAGCTGGGATCATTTCAATAATTTGTGATTAACCCAAATGTACAGATTTCATAAATGAACCCTCTCACACGTTTCTTTGAAAATTCATTAGAAAACAATCTTGAAATTTTATTCCCTTGACTGAATGAAATGTAGCCCTGCCCAGTCATTCCTCCTCTCACTTGTCTCTTCCTCTTCCTCCCCTTTCTCCTCCTCCTCACTCTCCCCTTCCCTCTCCCTCTGTCCCTCCCTCCTTCTTTTTCCCCTTCCTCTCCCCTTCTTCCCTCTTTCCCTTCTGCTACAACTCCAATATTCCAGCCACTGACCCCAGGTCCCTCCTTACTTCCTGGCAACCTGGTTCTTGGTTCCTTTGCTCTGGCCCACTTTCTGGGTTTAAGGTCTTGCTAGGGAGTTGACATCTCTATGCACCTTGGGCTTGTTTCTGTGGATCTTGGGTACCTAGCAAGAGACAGCATGGCACAAGGACTATAGAATTCGGTGTTAGAACCTCCGGGTTTAAACCTTGGCTGGACTTGTTCCTGATTGAAAGCAGTGTAACCAAAGCTTCTCTTCCTCTGAGCTTAATCCCCTGACCTGCACAATGGGGATAAAACCCTGAGTCAGGTACATTTTAAGAGCTGGGCATGTCCTCTCTCACGTAACCCTCACCAATAATTGCTGAGATGAGTATAAGCTACTTCTGTTGTGCAACTGAAGTGAAAATTGGGACCTGGGAAGGTGAAGTAACTAGCAAAGGTCACAAAAGAGCACAGCCAGGATTTGGAGGCAGAGCATCACCATGCTGCCTGTAATCACAAGGACTGTAGAATTAATTCATAGGCAATTAATTCATAGGCAATTAATTAGGCAGAGCATCACCATGCTGCCTGTAAAATCACAAGGAATGCCGAGGTTGAAGCCTGCCCCATGTACAAAATAAACACTTAGAAATAAATAAATAAAATAAATGCAGCAAACAAGTTTCCCAGTTTGGAAGTCAGAAAACAGAATCATCAAAACATACAGGCTACCCCTTGATTCTGCTCCATGCATCTTTGAAAGACGCCAGATTGTCATTTGTGCCCAAATTACAATTTAAAAAGTATGAGAAATAAACCTAGGATGTATGCTTCATGCCATGGCACTCACCTCTTAGCTTGTTTGTATAAATAAGACTGTGGGTTTATGGGAGCTGGTCTAAGAATGCTGGCCTGTATCTGAAATTGCCATTCCAGAAAGACTAATGGCAGAAAAGTCTTCACAGAACTGTAGACCTTTTATTTGATGTAGATCCAGATGAATAAATCAACTTTTTTTTATGCTCTCTTTTCAGGTTCGGGTAGGTGATCATGGTTATGTTCACATAAAAGTATTCAAACCTCTTCCTGGACAAAATGAAGATACTCTAGAGCTTTCTGGTTACCAGACGGGCAAAAGCAAAGAGGATGAGCTGACTGGCTTTTAGTGGCGTGTTCCACAGTGGTCTGATTCTTTGCACTGGCCACACATTGATGACCCTTGTTAGTAAATATAACCATTAATAAAGAAACATTCCTTTTCGAATACATTTCCACTGTTATGTATGTGTTTTATTAAATAGAAATGGCCTTTACTTTCTCAAAATCAGAATTATTGTTTTAGAGGAGAAATTGCCTATGAATTAATGTTAATTGGAAATCTTAGTCCCCTCCACGCCCAGCAGGCAGGCAGTCTTTGGCCATCAGTTAATCAGTCTCCTAGTCCCTGTGATTTCTGAGAAACCAGGAGTCCCTCTCTACCCTTATATTTTAAGAATAAATCAGATATTTTACAAAATATATTTTTATTTTGAAACAATCTCAAGCTCTAGGAAAAGCTGCAAAAAAGCCCCTTTTTCCCTAGATACTTAAGAATTTGCTACCTATAATAGTTCCCTGTCATCAGCAAATACTAGTATTCCCTACTACAAATACCACTGTACATTTCCCATAGCTGGGACATTCTGTTGCTGCAATATACCCTTCCAAAGCAGGAAACTAACACTGATGCCTGCAAGCATCTTGTGCCTGGACGCCATTCATGTTTCCCCAGTGGTCCCAATAATATCCCTCGTTACCAAAGATCCAGTCCAAAACCATGTATTCCATTCATT